TTTGGGCTGACCGAATGAATGATAGATATGGGGTTTAACAAAGGGGCTTCAAAGAGTACGTGGAAAAGTTCCATGATCTTTTAATGCCATGGCATTTCCAGGGCATTTCTGCCGTCTCCTTGTGATACTGTGTTCACACTGGGTGTTACTCCTGTTGTAGGTCTTATGAACTCACCCGGAAGGACCGACTGTACAAAAACATCGTCCGAATGCAGCACACGCACGGGTTCAAGGCTTTCCACATCCTCCCGCAGACCTTCCTCCTGCCAGCGGAGTACGCGGAGTTCTGTAGTAAGTGCTTGCCCAGGGTGCTGCCGCCCCCGCAGCTCAAAGGGTGGCAGCTTCGCCCCAACGGCTGCCTCAAGGCAGTAAAGCATTAAGAGTTTTCCACCCCCACCCCCCCCCAAAAAAGGTGGCTTACCCATGAAACTGTTGCAGACATAACTTAAAAACTCTATTTTCATCCGATGGCCTATCCAACGGTAACCTTGTCAGTGTCATTCATGGAAGGACACAGTCCTGTCACGTCAGCGTGCCCGGCTTTGTGACCAGAGCTCACACTGTTTCTGCATAGCAGGGACATGACATTTGCTTGCTTCTTTGGTGCCTCTTGGCATTTGAGGAATATTTCTGACACTTTGCCTGGCCGACTTGGGTGATTTTTATACTGTGGGGTGTGAGCAACATGTACCTTTTGGTGTTAGAGTTGAGAGGAGCCAATTAGTCACCCCTTCCTTTGAGTTCAGACCAAATAAAATACACATGGCAACCAAGTAAGGATGGAAAGGTCAGCTCTGTTGTAAATCTAGATAGGAAACCACGGCTTGGCCGGGATCTGCAGTGGGCGGCTTATGTCTTTTGTTTTGAAGTGAACTTAGGGATCCAGGCCAGAGGAGCTGAGCTCGCTAGCTTCTCTCCCCAGCTTGCCGGACTCACTGTGCAGAATGGATGTGGCCAGAGGGGAATCAGCCTTTTGTGAGAATCTAAAGAGTAATGATTGTTCACATGTAATGGGCATTCACTGCCTGTTAGACCCTCTTCTAAGTACTGTTTCATGAGTTTAGAAACCAGCTACCATCGAGTTGATGTCTACATGGGTCACAGTAGGACTGGGTCCCCTTGATTTCTTTGGAAGTAGATTGTCAAGCCTTTCTTCCGAGGTACCTCCACGTGGATTTGAAACCTCCCAACTTTGGGGGGAACGATTTGCACCAGTCAGAGGCATCCACCCTGTGGGATGAATATTATTATGGTCTCTGCCTTACTGATGGGAGATTAGGAAATTGTCCATCCATTTGGGAGCTTGCACATGGTACAAGTGAAATTCAAACCCAGGCAGTTTGGCTTCAGAGACTC